CTTTTTGGCTTTTAACCAAGCTTTTGGCTTTTTTAGACAAATGATTTGGGAAGTTGGTAAAAAGTGACTTTTGACTTTTTTGATTAATATTTGTTTATGATGTCAAATCATAATAAAATGACTAAACTACCCCCATTTATTTAAAATATTTACAACTGAACCTATGTAACACATTGTGACCCATGAGGGGTAAAATTGTAATTTCACCGTTGGCTAAAAACCAACTTGCCAAATGAAAAAAAAGGCCAAAAAAGCCAACTTTTGGCTTTTGCTACTAACCAAAAAAAGTGGCTTTTAGCCAAGTTCCCAAAATAGCCCTAACTCTTAATCACTTTCTTTCCTACTGGTATTCTCTCAAGTCCCCTTTACTAATTTTCCTAATTTCTATTTTTTTTAAATAAACGTAAAAAAAAAAAATTAATAAAAAAATAAATAAAATTTAAAAAAAAAAAAATTGATATACAAATAGATAAAGTTAACAAATTTGATCTATCTCGCTTCTGTTAAAATCTTTCGTAATTAACAAATTTGATCCTATATGTTCAGTTAAAATCTTTATTTTATCTCTCAATATCTAATTTTAAATTTTATTTTTTTTAAAGTCTATCTAAACAAATCTAATTTAAAATTTTGATTTTTTTTATTTGAATTTTTATTTTTTTACAAGAGCTTCAAGCATTAAATAGAAATTTTCAATTTTTAAATTTTTAAAAATAAAAAATATATTTGGCATAAAGTGATAAAAAAATTACAAACCCACAAATATTTATAACCATATTTATAACCATATATATAAATTAAAAATATAGATAGATAGATTTATGGCATTCAGTTTATTAGTAATTCTTTTTAGCGTATATATGTTTTAGACATTAGGGTTATTGAGAAACATCTTATTTATTGTTAGTATTATTTCATTAGTTAGAAATCAAGTTTATTATTTCAAGAAAAATAGATCAATTGAATTATAATAACATTTTGTGCATATCTACTTTTTAAATTATTGTCTTTACTTATGAAATTTGAGAAGATGATCTTTATTCATTATGATTATAATTTATGACAGAATTTAGAACTTGATGCATTATTAAAAAATTTATATACTATAAATCAGTCTCGTGCATAGCACGAGTTTACCACTAGTATATATATAATATGATGGGAGAATGGATGAGAATATAAACAGAGTATAAATGTGTTCAAGATAGAGCCCATTGATAAGAGTAAAAAATATTTTTGCACATTTTTCTTAAAAAAAAGTGATTTTGCAAACATAAAATTCATATAAAAAAAAATTCATCAAAATGATGTATCAATATTATTTGTGAAATTACAAAAACAATAATAGATATTTTGATTAAAAATGAAGGAACTATAAGATGTCAACTCATTTGTATAAAATTTTTGTACACAGATTATATTTGTATATCATTACTTTTTTCTTAAAACATTATATTAGAAGTTCTTTTTGAAAAATTAAAAATATTAAGTACTTTAAAATAATTTAGGAGGGGCAGTAATATAATTTTATAAGGGATATATTTGAAATACTCTTAAAATTAGCATAATTTTCAAAAAAATGAAGGGATCACGGCCTTCCCTGATCTTTCGTTGTTTCTGCCATTGACCATATCTGTATAATGTGTATAATGAGATTTACCATAACATTTTAATATTTTTATTATTAAATAATAATATCACAAGCAAATGTGATAGGTTATATTGATTTTTTTTCCTTCATATTATTGGATGAAGTTATATGAAGAATCTGAATAGCTAATGCTCCCATTGCCGTGTGATATCATGGTTATACCGGTGCGTTTAGTATCAATTTTTTAGATTTAATTTTTTAAAAATTAAGATTTTTATTTTTTATATTTTTTTATTTTTAGTAAATATTTATAAAAAAAATATTTTAAAAACTCAATAAATATAAAAAATATATAAAAAATGTATTGAATTCTCGTATTTTTTTTTATATTTTTGGTATTTAATAAATTTTTTAAAGATTTTGTTCACAAATATTATATAAATTTATGTTAGGTATATTTAACAATTAAAAAAATTGTTTAGAATATTAAAAAAATACGTAAAATAAAAAATTTCAATTTTTTGAAAAATAAATCCTAAAAATTCAAACCAAATAAGCTGACATTTTTTTTTTTCAAATCATTGGATGAAGTTATATGAAGAATCTGAATAGCTGATCAAGAGTGTAAAAATGACTCGCGATCCGTGGGTAGCCTGAACTTGCCCACGACTCTGGGTGGGCCCGACCCGATTAGGCTGTCGCTCGAGCCCAGCCCGTGCTTTGGCCTGGGCTATCATTTTGAAGCCTGGCTTGGCCTGGCCCGTGGCTTGGCCCATCGGCTCGCGCAAGGCCCACTCAAAAGCCTAGCCCGAGGTTTGGCCCACCCGAGGCCTAGTGTTATTTTTAATAGAAAATAATAAAATTTTGGTAGAAAAAATAAAAAATAAAATAAAAAATTGTTTAGGCCCGCCCAAAGCCCGAGTCTAGGCCCAAGCCCAACGGCTCAGCCCATTGACCTGTCCAAAGCCCGAATACCCCTAGGCCTGGGCTTGAGCTTGGGTCTGGGCCTAGTTTTCTGGCCCGTGGGCTGGCCCGATTTTTAGTGGGAGCCCGCAAGGCCCGACATGGGCTGGATCAGGCCAGGTCAAAATTACACGCCTATTGTAGTGTAATTGTCCTCATAGGTTTGGTGGTTTAGGCATTAGACACCAACCTATTTAAGTTGATAGCATTTATTTCATACTTTTCATACTTGTGTTCATATATAATCACCTCTGTAACCTCCCTCATTTCTTGTCTTTTTATTTCTTTGAGAGTTGTTTCAACCGAGTGTTGTTTGAGGTTGAGAAAAAGAACCTTTAATGCTAAATGGTTTAATCTCTTCGGAGGTTCATTATGGCTTGGCTCGGCCCATCGGCTCGCTCAAGACCCACCGAAATCGGCTCGATCAAGACCCACCGAAAAACAGGCCCGAGGCCCAATGTCATTTTTGGTGAAAAAAATAGAAATTTTTTTTTTAAAAAATGTTAAAGCTAGGCCCGGCAGCCCGCCCAAGGCCCGAATACCTCTCAGGCGGGCCTGGGCCTACTTTTTTAACCCGTGGGCCAGCTCGGCCCGACCAAATCTAAATTTTAACAAGAACATATAAGGCCCGACATGAGCCGAACCAAGCCGGGCCAAATTTACACTCCCATACTTAATGCCCCTAGTTCAACAACAGCTTTTAAGTCAACTCTTAAATAAATAAATAAATAAAAAGTGTACACTTTACTGTAAAAGTTTAGGCCTAGTTTGGAAGACTAAATAAGTGCACTTTTTGACTTTTTATAAAATATGAGTTGGGTTTGGGTTGGGTTTGAAGTGATGTGTTAGAGAGGTGATGTGACTTAAATAAGATGATGTGACTTAAATAGGATAGTAAATTTTTGACTTTTTGTCTTTTTTGCCTCATGCCAAACTTGGCCTTAGTCTATGTGCATATGATTCTGTTAGGGTCCTGCTACGTTTCATGAAAACTGTCATGAAAACCATCTGCACCGTTGGATCATGAGACACATACCTGATCTAACGATGCAGATGGTTTTGATGACAGTTTTCATGAAAATTCTTCATGAAACCTAGCATTTCCCATTCTGTAATTTAAAAATAAGCCTACAACATTATGATTTGTAAATTGAAGTGTACTATTAAACTCGTTAATGACTGAAAGAAAATATTAAAATATTTTTATACATCAGTAATTTCATTTTACAATCCGGGGACATTTTCATCATTTTTTTAAGAGGTGTAATTCATTTTGATTCATTTTTCTTTACTTTATGCGCGATTCATCTCCTTGACATTTTAATGAGTACATAACTCTCTTACATTCTGATAGGAGTGAACAGCGGATATACCGATCCACTAAAATCGACCGGACCGAACCAATCCGCCACATTTTGGACGGATGCGTGATGACGAATGGACGGCTGCGGATTAATTTTCTCCAATCCGCCAATTTGACGGACGGATGGCGGATTTGAGATTCCTTTGGTCACAACCAAACTGCCAAACCGCGAGCACCCCTCGTAGTTTATAAGATTTTGTATTTTCAGTTTGTTTAAATATTCTGTTTGTGTTTTCAATTAAAAAAGAGTTTAAATATTCTGTTGAAAAAAAGTTTTCAACTTGAATATTTTTTTTGAATTGAAAAAAGTTACCGTATTATTTATCTATATTTTTTGATTTTTAAATCTATCTCTAAAAATAATAAATAGAAAATATGATATATGCTGGTTGGTTTTTATTTTCAAAAACAAATATAGATGTAACAATATAGAGACATACAATTTCTACTACTGCTCTGTTTATAATTTTAGTAGTTTGAATTACTTTTATATTTTGAGAACCACAGATTGTAATACTTTATGTAGATGAAGCATACTGTGATTATGATATTCTAAAGTTTCCAATTTTCTTACTTCATATGAGGCATTTAGTTATTGTAATATTTTTTTAAGTCATTGACTGTAACACTTTCTTCTTCTTCTTCTTTTTTGAGAAAGTACACAAATTGAATTATGTTGAAAATTTATAAAATTTTAAACCGCCAAACCGATTCGCATCCATCCGCCAAACCGCAAATCCACTCAATCCACATCCGTCAGATTGACGGACGAATGCGAATTGATTTTCTCCAATCTGACGGACAGATAGCGGATTAAAGATTCCGTAGCCACAACCGACCCGCGCCCATCCCTAATTCTGATGTGTATAGGCTTATTGTTAACTCAAACAAAATTTTAACTCAAAAGGGATTGGTGTGGTATTCAAGGTTTGGGACTTAAGGTGTTAACCGAGACAATTTTAACTCCAAGGGGTTAACATGATATTTAAGATTTGGGACTTGGGGTTTCCTTTCCAAAGTCTCAAATTTGACAGAGAAGTTCAAACTCACTCTTGGTTTGAAAATAGCAGAGAAACAAACAAATACACATAATAAATGCTAGTTGTTCCATTAGCATTATCGAGCAACACAAGAAACGTGTAAAGCTGCAAATAATAGTTATTTGTAACGGGTTTACAGAACTTAAAAAACATACATGAACAGCAAACACTAGCATATAAACAGAGAGAATTACATTAGAATCAATCAGAATTTTGACAATTCTACATGTTGGTGTGCATAGGTGAATCATGCAGAAGGGAAACCTTCACAATGAGAAACTGAGAAATTTGCGATTTCACCAATTGCTCCTGTGTACAAATGCTATACAAAAACTTGAGTTCGATGAAGACGTGCTTGCGTTGGACAGAAAGTGCCCGATTCATGCGCCCCAACAAAGAATAATACGACTTTAACTGTCTACAATCTTCATCCTACTTTGTCGAACCAGAGCACGGGATTCCATGCTTTTGAAACCATTCAGGCATGTGGAACCTCTCATACAGAGTGGGTCTCACATCCTTTTGTTGAGAGAGGTGTCTGAGGAGTGGAAGAAGGATCTCCAGAAGCTGATTGAACCACAAGATAGATGAGAATCATTCAGGGAACTTACAAATAAATGACCAATCAGATCACCTTTGGAAAATAGTATTCTTGACAGAAATTTCAATACAGAAATTTCACCAGAATGATGTGGCTGTAGCATTCTGTAATTAAATATCATTTTAATTACATCATTCTATATACAAATCAATTATATTCATATAGAAATATATGTTTTTTTTTTTTTTTTTTTTTTTTTTTATCATTATTCATCAGCGTTAGGAAAAATGGAAATAACTTCTTAGTACCTGATCATCATGTGGCTGTCCTGCAGAAAATGGGATGCATGGAATTCCATTCACTGGTTGCAATAAGAAACTGAATGGGTTGTTATCAACAATAACTGTTCGGCAGAGATCCTTTGAGAGGCAAGACAGATCCTTCACATGCTCACGATATTCCCTGCAATTCACAGAGCATGTACAAGTCAATTCCTTCAATAATGTTAATCGGTGGTAAATCATTTAAGCAATAATACAAGCACACAACTATGCCACACAGACTCAGGTATAAGTGTCAGGCGTGTGTTTGTCTCAGATACAGCATCATCTAATTCCCAAGTCCAATGATACCGTGACCATAAACATTAGAATCTTGCGATTCACCATTTGATATAAGTTTCAACCAAAATGATTCCATTTGTGCAATTGAATCTTAAATTGAGTGAATCTTATGATTCAATATCAATTCTTTACAATTCACTACGATTCAAGCGATTCAATTATGTTTGCATAATGCATAAAACATCGTTGTTTTTGCACCAAAAAAAAGAAAAAAGAAAAAAAAAAGATTAACTAATTATATTGATATATAAGTGGTTTTATATGTATTATACATATATACAATTTAACTATATTCAGTTTAAACATTGTATTTTATATGTATATACATATATATAATTATATAATAATTTAACAAAGATTCACAATTTTAGCAAAACGATTCATAATTCGATTCACAATTTGACAGTGATAACTAAATATTCATGGGTCTTAGTAGTATTTTCTTTTATTTACTTAAGTAAAATGAAACGTGTGTGCAACATAGAGCAGAGAGCTTTAAGCATGTTCACACGTTTTTTGGGTAACTTTGGGCACTTCATGCATTTTGAACCAACCATGCAATAGATATAACATAATAGAGGTCTTTTATGTACAATCATTCAGTAAACTTGAATTACCATATATTCCAGCATGATGCAGGTTCAAATAGATATGTCGGGCACTTGTCCCATACTTCTACTGAGTGTGGTGTGTTCGACAGGGTACTTAGATACATTAAAAAGAGTCCATGTAACAAACCATACAACCATCACCCCTCCATAAAATCTGACTTGTATCAAGGACAAAGCTCATATGAAGAAAACATTTTAACATGGGTACCAGATTCACAGATGTAATAATGAGTTGAAGTCAAATAATTAGGTAACAAAGGCTGGTCATTGCAAAAGTAACCATCACTAAAATAGTAATGTAGCTTAATCATTCAACCGTTCGTTAACTTTTCAACATGTCTTCTAACACCAAAATATTACTAAGTTTTCACAAGCAGCCAAAATAAAATAAGCACCTTATAAAATATTTTATCACTACCTTGTAGGTTATAACAATGCTTTCACTCTTTCTCATGCAATATATGTTCACATGCTCACTAATCAATTTTTTTAATCAATATGAGCACAAAATTATGGAATCACCTCATGCTTAAAGTCAACTGCTTAGTATTAGTAGCGGCATTTTTATTGAGTCCTTTGGCTAAACAACAAAATAACATTTTATTTTACCAAGTCTTAAAAAAATGGGGCCTTAAGCAATTAGAATTTTTTCAAAAAAAATTGGGAGTCTTAGGCAACACACCTCTGTTTTTTTTTTCTTTTTTTCTTTTTTTTTAAAGATTGGAAGCCACCTCTGTTTAGTACAACCAATAACAATCTTCATTTGGTTAAATTTTTGAGGAAGGTGCACATGTCCATATGGGTTTACCCATGCATACTTTTAGATAATCTGCAGGAGTCGGATACTAACAAAACACGGGATGATAATGATGATTATGGTCCTATTATTTAATAAAAACTTACAAGACGTATGAAACTGACTGACATTATAACATTCTGGAATGTTCTTCACATTTCTACCTATATGCATCAGTTAAAATATAATCACATACAGCTATGGGCCTCAATACGCAAGACTGAAATCAAGAACATAGGAATTACAAATTGGCATCCACAACACATTTTATACCTCAGCTGACCTGAAGCTTGAGATCTGGAGTTGTTCAAAATATAACAATATGGTTTGAATTGGCCCATAATATTACACCACAGGATTTACAAGGATATTACCATCATCATCAATACTTAAACAGAATGGGATTATTTCTTAAGAGGCTAAAGCATCCTTGTACTAAGGAAGTGTTAGAAATAAATTTAAAAACTAGATCCATCAAGTGATATTAGATCACCATGTATTCATTTCTAAAACACATGAAAAATTAAATAAATTCATTCTATTACCATGGGACATTAAACTGCCCCATTAAATAAACAAAACTGAGTCGGATAAATTGGGCAGTCAAGACAATTAAGCATCAAATCATAACTTAAGGTACTTCAGGTAGTAGATTTACCATGCACAAAAATCTAAGACAGAAATTGGAGATCATGGCAAATTCTCAACCAAGAATGCAGTGCTTTATTTCACTTTTTTTTTTTCCACTTTTTTTTTTTTTTTTTTTTTTTGTTCATAAATTGCTTAGTTGTGTGCAATTAAGTTGAGATAATCCTCATATGTGATGCATATTCCCAGGTTACGTCACCATAAGTTGAGATAATCCATGCACTATTGAGAGAGAGAGAGAGAGAGAGAGAGAATTATCTTCCAACAAATATCTTCCTTTGAGAAAAATAGAAACATGAAAAAACAAGAGATGCTCCAAGGAAAACCAATGGTTCACTCATAGAACAAGACAGGTTTCCTCGATAGAAGACCACCTTATGCAGGACTAGAAGGCCTCAAACACATCCAAGGGCACTACCGCTTTCATTATCTATAAGGGCAGATATATCATATATGATCCCAATTTCTTGGGAAATATCTCTCTAAACTTGACATGCAGTAGCATTTACCAATCATGCTACAATGATACAGAAACAAATAGCAGTATCTAATGCCAACCTAAGGTTTCCATTCAGTGTCTGTCATGGAAAACTAAAAAAGAAAACAAAAGGAAATACATAAAAACTATGGACACCAAGGTGGGTATAAAATGTAGATAAAATGCCACACATTTTAGATACAAGAACAGAGGAATCTTTATTGCAGCCTTTGGTTTAGATAAAAAATTAAATTACAATGGAAAGAAGAAAAACAAAACAGAAAAATCTGGAATTAGAATGCAGTAGAAAAGCAGCAGTACTTACGTGCTAATGGTAGAAGGCCGATACAGTCTATTACAAAATCGATTTTCAACATCTATTCTATCGACAAGTGGTCTGGCATAACCTGAAGGCATGCAAAGAAGTAAACAGGAGTTGTTATTGGGATAGGAAGTAGGGGGGAAGCATTTCAAGAGAATGGTGAAATAATAAGCAAACCTTCAAGACCCGCAGTAAATAACACAAGATCAGCAAATTCACTGAGTTGTTTTAAAAATTCTGATAATCCTGGACGTTCAAACACTGTAACATAGTTTATCTTGGGTTTGCCTTCACATTCCTTCAAATCCAAAATTTTGAACATTAACATAGATCATAAACAAAATGTCTAGATAGCCCATGAAACATTGAGAAATACGTAAGACACCTTTTCTGAAGATATGCATTCCAGCTCAAACCACTTCAACCCTGCTTCTGTAGCTTGATCACGAACAATAGCAGGCAAACTAGATGTTTCATAAGCACACACTAGAGTCTCATCTAAATCAAGAACCACCTGTGTGCAGAGTTGCATGAATCAGACTTGAAATATATTCAGCAGTGAGAAACTATAACACAACAGGGAAACATTATAGTAGCAGCAACAGTAGACTAGTACTAGTAGTACAGTAGTACTAATACTATTAAAGCAAAAGGTAAATAACACCTTTATCCTACTTCCACATCTTCCCTTCGCTTACTCACTAAACTGAATGTGGTTTTCCCTATAGTTCACGATCCTTATTGTTCTTCTTCTTTTTTTTCTCGATGAAGTTGGGCAATTGCATCTCCACTTTTGTCCAATCAACCCTAATGATTAATTTTGTTCTTTCTCTTCCTTTTTGTCTTCTTGAACGAAAACTATATAATGAACTGGAGAAAGTAAGCTAAAAAGTTAGCAAAGGGTGAAGGAAGCTTCATAGACACAAATTACTCAAAAAAAAACCTTCTTTTGCACACACACACAGGTGGTTTCATGTTGCCATTCATTCAACATCTCCTCCACTAAAATACAATCTCAATTAAGTTTCACTTCTTAGCATCAGAAAATATTGAATTTTTAAACGGTAACTCAATTAATTATTTATTAATTAGAATATCAATCTCTTCTTAATGACGGGTTTCCCTTGCCGAAGGCCCATGAAGAGGTTGTGCACTAATCAGGCAGTCATTTACATTGATAGTAACATTTTACTCCATGTTGGGAGCTAGCTTACCGAGGCAAATTACCAATTCTTTATGAATACGCAATAAGATAAAACATTGAGCAAGAAGGAGCGGTTAAAAGGCCCTTCTTATGTAACCTCAATAAAAATCATTTTTAGCAGCAAAAATCCATTTATGTCATACATAAGTTGTGCATGATTGATAACCATGTTTGTAAATAGAGTATGGGAACAATTACCAGAAGCAAATTACATTTTCAAAAGGCACATAGTTCAACCTCATTGTCAAAATCTATAATGCAACGATTACTCTTTAGATAGTAAGTAGTACGCTTATGATTTCTCAACCACTGGATGGAAAAAATAATTCTTCTACCATATTCTGATCTAGACAATAATTATAGTTAGTTCACAGCTTGTCGTATAATTTCTTTTCCTCAAACCCCGTCCCTTCGTCGTCAGTCCACATGTCCCTCACACTCACTCGTCTTTATTTTGTTTGCACGTCATCATACCTTACCTAATAACAACTTCATCTCATGTTTCTTGTAATGAATTAATAATACATTTCTTGTTAGAAACACATTCATTTCTTATTCTTGTCTTTTTGGCATGTCCATAATTCATCTGAGTCTTTAGATTTCAAATATGCTCATTTTATCAGCAACTGTTTTCTTCCTTCTGTACCATAAAAGCAAGACCAACCTTCTACCAGTTGTCTACAATTTAATAAACATTCATACAGTTAGAAAACACTAACTGCAGCAAAACATCGACAAAGTTATGCAAATAGAGACACATTGGAGAGCAACAACTAACGTTCATTTGTCATCTCCTCGGGTGCCCTTTAATTGTCAATTCCTCCAGGCACAAAACCAGACAAAATTACTTGAGAATGGCTTGTTTGGAATGATCTAAATAAGTGTACTTTTTGACTTTTCGCGAAAAAATGTAAAATATGAGTTGGGTTTAAAGTGATATGGTTGGGAGATGATGTGATTTAAATAAGATGATGGGACTTAAATCAGCTTTTTTAGATTATGCCAAACTAGGCCAAATGTCATCCAAGTTAGTCTCAGCTCTTTAGTCACTACAAAAACAACTATAGTCTTTGAACTTTATGCAAAGCACTTGTCTGTATCTCCAACAAATCAGCAATAATAGAGGACTTGCATTCGATCTATGCCTCAATGTAGTAGACTGAACTCTCTGTATCTAAATAAAGCTGAGATTTTACCCTAAAAGCTGTGTAATATCTGATCCACTTTACAATTAATCGTACACAGATAATCACAATTCGCTTACACTAGGGCAATCAGAGTCAAACTCCAACATAAACAACACCAGTCAAATATTGAACTTGCAATTGAAAATCGGATCAGAGGAGATAGTTCCGTTCATAATTGAACACACACACATAGATAGATAGATAGAGAGAGAGAGAGAGAGAGCTCGTCATACCGTAAGCCTCTTGGTGTCGCCGAGGATTTGCAGTGCGGCGGAAGGAGGGTCCTGCAATTCGGTAGAATCGGGGGCGAGGGGCAAAGGCTTGAAGGAAGGAGAGGTGGAAGAGAGGAAAGAGAGGCCGACGTAGGAGAGAACTTGGGTCACCGAAGGCGTCCCTCTGACGATCTGCACGAAGATCTGGAAGAAGAAGGCCAGCCAGTTCAACAGCGTCTTCAACACCTGAACACTCCTTGGCGCGTACACTTCAGCTTGAGGAGCCAACTCCGCCATGGCAGTCCCACCAAGCCAAGAACCGGCCGACCGCGGCTAGGTCACACCTACGCGCTGCGCATCTCTCTCTCTCTCTCTAGAATTGTTTTGCTTGAAGGTGTTGGCGACGGGTTGGATAAGGCAGCTGTGCAGAAACAATCAGATCATACGGGGTGGTGGTGGTGAAGTCTAGAGAGAGAAAAAATTGGCTGGAGAAGAGATGGCCTTCTGTTTGGTAATGAAGGGAGGGGAGAGGGTGATTGTTTGGTTTAAATTACAGTGGACAAAGAGTGATTTTCTATTTTTTTGAATCCTTGTTTATAAATTTTCTATTTTTTTGAATCCTTGTTTATAAATTTTAAAAAAAATTCTCGCTCTAAATAATATTAAAATTATCTTTATAAAAACATTACATTTATTCAATTGAATGCACATTCTTACATCCTAAAAAACCCTTTCTCTCAAAGGGATATTTTGGGAAGATGGTTAAAAATTACTTTTTAATTTTTTTAAATTTTTTTGTGAGACATGAAAATGAGTTAAAAGTTAAGAAGTAACTTTTAACCCACTTCTCAAAATAGGCCTAACAAAACCTACGAAGGTGATTATTAATTAATCTCCACATACTTGTTCATGACCTTACAGTGAGAAAGTAAATGTAAGATTTTTAATCGTTAATCCTTAGAATATATCAATAAGAAATTGGGTTGGGATTTTTGTGTTTGAGAAAAAATTAGAAGAGTCAAGTGTGATTACTGTCAATTGCCCTAACTTGGGTTGTGATCTCTGTCATCTCATTCTTTTCTTCTGTTTGACCATTGTCAGAGTTGGTTGTTGTTTCCGAGCAAATAAAAAATGTTTGGTTATCTGTTCTCAAACAAATTAATAACGTTCAAGCTTATGTTCCCGAATTTCTATCATATATTCAGGAGTTCAGTCTCGAAAAAATGATAAATAGTTTTATTATTTTTGTCATTTTTTTCAAGAAGCTTATTCTTACAACAATCATGTTGGGACCCCAGTGGGGGCGACCCCCAGCACCCCCGCCTCCACGTGGGGGCTCCAAGTGGTAGAAAAAAAAAAATTATGGACCAATCAAAAAACAATGGGGTGGTGGGGGTCTCATGCATTTTCCTTTTTACAAAACCATTTTCCTCTGAGCTAAGAACACCATCAAAGTTATGAATATCCTCTGAGCTTTTATTATTGTACCCCTCTCATCTCATGGAGTTATGGTTACCGAAATTTTTTTTACTCATTGTTATTGCTGGAGAAGTGTAGGTAATCAAATAGTTGTCACTGTTATCCTCAGAATATTGCTATCAAAGGGTTTTTAAAAATTTGAGGGTATGTGGGTTTTGAAAGTGGGATTTGAGAAAGATAGATGAGTGGTGATAGAAGTGAGTGCTCTCATAAATCTTAATTCATGATATAGTTAGTGTATAGATTTAATTATGAGATGAGGTATCTCAAAATTATTCAGTGTGTTTGGTTTGAGTTTTCTGGATTAAGTTTTTTGAAAACTGAGTTTTTTAGTTTTCGTGTTTTTTGTTTTTAGTGAATATTTTTAAAATTTTAAACATTTTTTTTACTTTTTTAGATGCACCTTACCTAGATGTATCTAAAAAATAAAAAAAAATATGAAAAAATATTTTAAAAAATTAATAAATACATAAAAATATAAAAAATATACTGAATTCTTGTATTTTTTTGTATTTTTGGTATTTAGTGAATTTTTAAAAGATTTTTTTTATAATTTTTTTACTTTTTAGGTGTATTTATATTAGGTGTGTCTAAAAAGTAAAAAAAATTGTTTAAAATATTAAAAAAATTCAGTAAAAATAAAAAAGTAGAATTTTTTAAAAATTGTTTTTTGAAAAATGAAAATAAACAAGCTGATTAATGTTTTTTTTTATAATTTTATTTGAGATTATTACTGTATTAAAAAAATAAAAAAAATTAAAATTTAAAGTAATTAATGGCTGCTAGCACTCGTGAACAAAAGTTGGGAAAGTGGAAAAGAAAAGAGAGAAGTTTCTGTGCGTGGGGATTGGGTTGGAATGTGCCAATGAGAAAGAGACAATTTTTCCATCTTTGGAGTTTTTGTTTGGATGTTTGTGATCCCCATGCTGTACTCCTCATGGATCATATGCCTGCCCGCCTGCCTCCGCCCTCACTTTGAGAAAGTCCCCCTCAGTGTTCTTTGACCGTAGAATAGAGAACAGTCTTACATAGATAAGTTTATTTTCTAAACAAATTTCATATCTTATTATAGTTATGGATTTCTTGTTTCCCCAAAAAAAAAAATTATGGTCAAGGATTTTTGTCAATCTATCAATCTATCTATCTTCCATGAGAAATTCTATCTATTATATGTACTTTTGGTTATTTTTATGATTTTTTATTATAATTTCTTGTACTGTGTTAATTATGACATATTATATATCAATTATTATATTATTATAGTTATGATTTAAAAAAAAAATTAATTATACCTTATGTAATGTTTAATTATACATTATGTGATATTTAATTATAATATATTTTTTTAGTTATGATTCTTATAAGATTGAATTATGAGATTTATGATAATCAAACCCACAAATAACATAATTTGCATATAATATACACTCTGATTATCCATCTCCTATACTATATATAAGCAAATATAGGCCCTGTTTGGTACAATTTTTTTTCTGCTTATTTCAGCTTTCAGCTTAATTTAAGCTATTTTGATGTGTTTGGTTTAACTTAACAATGCAGCTTATAGCTTTTTGTAAGTCAGAAATCAGCTTATTCTTTGAGTGGGATAGGAGAAGCTTAATTTATAAGTCAGAAATCAGTTTATATTCATAGTTTTAAACTATAAACTGTTAAGGCATAAGCTATAAGCACTTTCTCACAGTTCTACCAAACAGGGCCATAGTAGAGTATGAAAATTCTACAAACTCTTTAATGCTAACCAATTGGGCATTCTCTCTCCTACATGAGATTCTCTCAAGTTTACTTCACTCATTTCTCTAATTTTTAATTATTCTAAAAATAACATAACAAAAAAAAAATATGCAGATAAAATCACTATTATGATATAACAAACCAATAAACAAATCTCTAAAATTACTTCTAATAAGATATAACAAAAAGATAATTAACAAATTTTATTTTTTTTAAAAAAATGAATTTATTTTTTTTAATCCTTAAAGTAGTTCTGTTGGCTATTTTGACACTTCAAGGTTTAGAAATATAATTAAAGCATACCATTAAGGATTTGAAAAATCCTTACCGATAATAAATTCCAATTTTATCAAACGATTGTATTATGACTAGGACTTTTCTGTGTTGTGCTGAAAAAAATGAACCAGTGTTTTTGACTTTGAATTCATAACAAAATGAGGGGGGGAGAGACTGTGCAGAAATTGCAATTGATTAATATAAACAATTACAAAATGTTACCTTTTTTTAAGGGTAACTTCGAAGTTTTAAACCGATCGAATTCTGAACTTATAGAGTTATCTACTTCTATGAAAGGTAAGTGCAGTGCAGGCAAGTAAAGTATTGGTACTTGAAGTGCTAAAATTTAAAAATAAATAAAACTAACAAAGACGTAGAGTTTGGATTTGATCGGATATGACTGGACAAAGTGGTCCAGTATTTGTATACCTGTCGGTGGGAGGGCTAGGCTTTTGGGATCCTAGTTTATTAAATCAATGTTTGTTAGCTAAGGTGGCTTGGCGCATTTGGTCAGAACCTCAATCACTCATTAGTAAAGTGTTCTTAGCCAAATATTGTAAGAATGTCAACTTTATGGAAGCTCAACCTAAGTCAGGATGCTCATGGGGGTGGCGAAGCATTCTATAGGGCTTTGGAAAGTTTTTTACTTCTTTTCAGGTGGCTCATTTGCTTAATTTGGAAAATAGATCATGGAGAGAGCCATTAATTAAAAATATCTTCCCAGAGAATATGGCCAAGCATATAATGGATATTCCAATTCCCATGATGGATACTCCAGATTTTCCAGTTGGAAGTTAGCAAAGGATGGCCAATATAGTGTGAAATAAGGTTACTTCTAACCAACTAGACCTAACTTAGTTTGCCACCATACTTTTCTTAAAGTTTAGTCTCAAGGAGGTCATGGGTTCAATTTCTCTTACAGGGTTGAATTAAGGGAGTGCAAGTACTTAAGTACTTTGCCAAGGATGGGGAGATTTTCTCCCATAGATGCTAATCTAATAACTTACAATTAACATTTGCCGATCCAAAAAAAAAAAAAAAAACAAGGTTACTTCTTGGCTTTGGAAGAAAAGTTAGGCAGAGGGAGTAAGAGGCCCAGTTGATAGTGACTGTTGGAAGAAGTTATGGAAGCTCAATTTACCACCAAAATGGGCTTTGTTTCTTTGGAAACTTTTGCACAGAATTTTACCTGTAAGGATTACAATGATCCAGCGAAGGTGTAGGATGGATTCGGTTTGCCCAAGGTCCAAAGAAGAAGACAAATCAATGGAACATTTGTGTTTTGAATGCATCTTTTCGAAACATATTTGGAGGGCCTCGAGATTAAATTTCAATTTCGAAGTGGGTCAGAGTACTTCAGTGGAGGATTGGATGACAAATTGGCTTAAAATCACACCGGATGATGAGGTTATAATTGAATCAATTAAAGTGTTATGGGGAATATGGTTGCATAGAAACAAGGCAGTGTTTGAACAAATTGTGGCAGATCCTAGTACGTACAGTGGTGCACACTCTTAACCAGATGAAGTGGGAATACTACAAATTAGCAAACAATTCTAAATTCGGGTCCATTTCATGCAGATGGCTCCACCAAAGATATTTTTGTCTGTGCTAACAATGCAAATTGGTGTAAACATCCTTGCTTTGACAGGTTCTTGATTGATGGAGCATGGATGTGAAAAGAAGCTAAAAGCAGGTGCGGCATGGATGGCATTGGATAACAAAGATAATCAGATAGCAAGTCACAAGTTCTCTAATGGCCGAAGCTAGGGCATGCCTTGAAGTCTTGCGATGGTGTTTGCGCGGCAATATTGGAGCAGCTACTATATTTACAGATTGCCAGGTGCTGGTGCAGCAACTTGAGGAAGGATTTCTTTAGAATGGCATATGAAACATGTGGTAGTAGAA